AAATCGTACCAGTGTCAACGCAAACCCGGAAAGATATATTATTAAGTTTATCACCACGTGCCTGCTAGTCCTGGTACGTGAAATCGTACCACTGTCAACGCAAACCCGGAAAGATATATTAACGTGTTTTTCCCGGTACTTAGTATAGTGTGTTCCTCTCTGTACTTGTTATAGTGTGTTCCCCTCAGTACTTGTTATAGTATGTTCCTCCCTGTACTTGTTATGGTATGTTCTGTTTCTCATATAGTATGTTCTGTTCCTCATATAGTATGCTCTGACTCATGTATGAACTGACTCTTTGTATGCTTCATTGTACTAGAAGTAAAGAGTAGTGTCTTCCTAAACTATACCTATTATAGTTTACTAATGTTTCACTTGAACTGTTATTGAAAAGACTTATTTATCTACTAAGTTATGCTTGTACTTTAAAAACGGAGTTTTGTAAAACTATAAAGTAACATAACTTTAAAAGAGTTTTTGAAATGTTTTGATCACTTATAAAATACATAAGCAATCTTTTGAAAGATGTGTATAGCAAACATTTACACAATTATAATTGTGTTCAACTTGTATTCCCCCCCTTAAAAGCATTTAAAACAGTTAAAAGATTCATTACGGGGTATGAACTCACCTGATGTGGGAGATTCAAACGAATACACGCATAAGGATGAGAAGTTCCACGAATGAACTCCCGAGACACAACGGGTCCTAAATGACATATAATGGCATATATGTGTATGTAATTAGTGTCTAAACAACTAATTAAGAAGGGTAACACCCTTATAGACTAGGAAACTCTAAGATTTAAGGGATACAATCACATACGATTGCATAACTAAGGTGTATGGCCACCCTATAGAGTTTACGGTCCAAAAGGCATGACCATAAGTGTTTACGGTCAAGATGGTTTACGGTCCAAGTGTTCACGGTCTAATGACCTTACGGTCATGGAGTTCACGGTATAAGGAGATCCAACCGTAAACTCATCAAATCTTGCACAAATGATGGTTTTCAAGGGCTTCATTCAAAGGCATCGGATTCTAGGGACCATGCTTAGCCTTAGGAAGGGTTTAGGGTCTCTAATGCACCTTTCATTAGAGTTTACGGTCTAAGGAGATACTCTTAGACCGTAAACACCTTGTTCTTAGCTAATGTGATGATTTCAAGTCCATAAACAAGAATCCTAACTAGATACAAGTATAGGAGGAAGGTACTTACGATATAGAGGCTTGAAAGGGTGATTAAGGTCCAAGAACACTAGTGTGTGTTCTTGGTGTTTCTTGAAGATCTAAGAAAAGATGATTTCCACGGATGAAATCATGAGTTGATACTAGATTAAGAGGTGTATCAATAAATCAAAGGAAGAACACTTACGATTTTGGTGATCTAGGATGATGAACTTGATGATACTAGAGAGGATTTGGAAGTTCTTGAGTTTGAAAGGGAAGAAATGATCAAAAAGATCATAATATATATATATATATAGATATATATATATATATATATATATATATATATATATATATATATATATATATATATATATATATATATATATATATATATATATATATATATATATATATATATATATATATATGAGGGAGTTTACGGTCACCCTGACCGTAAACTCATGGGTCCTGACCGTAAACTCCTCATGTAGAGGTTTACGGTTTGCTGGATGGCTTAGAACTTCCGCTGATACTTCCAAACACTTATTCCTTAAGTGTACTAGGCTAAAACTCCTTAGAATGACCTTTAACAAGGCTAGAACTCATTAGAAGTGAGTCTGACAATCAGTTGAGTTGACTGTCTGAGCTTTCAAAGCAAAAAATTTTCGGGTTGTCACATCATCCCCCCGTTAGATGAAATTTCGTCCCGAAATTAGCTTTCTTACAGTACTACTGGGGTTGCTCTCCTCTGATTTGCAGATACCCACTCGTAGACCTGTCAACTTTTCCCTGGTGTTCATGATAGGATTCGTACTTGGTCCATCAATCATTACTTCATGTATACAAGTCGCATATAATTAGGATTAGTAAGATGGTTGGATGTGCGACTCTGCCCCAGGTCCACAACCAAACAAGGAACAGGAGATAGGGCGGAAACACACATACTAAATCTGCGTAATCATAATCATATACCACCCTCGCGTATACACTAAATAGTGATAGGTGGGCTGTATTCGTCCATAGCCTCTGTGCTCAAACTTCGTCTGTTGGACAAGTGGTATTTCGTGACGGTATGCGGACATCTGACGATAAGGCTTCGGAGGACAAAGTACTCTTCGCACGAGTACTTCGGGGTTTAGAATACGAAAGACAAAACTGAGGTTTAGGTCGGACTGTCGTTAAGAATGACGAAGGTTTCGTGAACTTGACGGTCGAGTCGATAAGAACATATGAACTTAGTATGGTGAGGACCATGCCAATTCCCGACGAATGATAGTAACGGACTCTTTACTGAACAAGGTTTTGGCCGATTTGAAAGAAACGTCTGTTATACGATGATTTATCCCTAGTGTGTTCGACAATGTACTCCTAGTGTGTTCGACAATGTACTCTTTGTAAATGTTCTAGTGCATTCTGTTTTCCCCTTGATGTCAACACTTCTACGTATCGTACCGCAATGAGCGAGTACATACAATGAAAGTGTTTTTGATAACTAGTGTCGATACTTTAAGCTACGATCCTCTTTGGTACCACTACGACCGCCTGTCATATACAAGTTATGAATAATTAAGATGAATAAGACAGTCGACTGATTAACTCTGCCTTAAATCCACAACCAAACAAGGAACAAGAATTAAGGCGGAATCACTCACTCTAAGTCTGCAACATCTGAACGGATCTTTTAGTTTTCTTGAATACTGTGATCCATTTCAATATGTGAGTTATTATAATTACTTTTAAGTGTTTTCCCCCAAGTTTTAATCTTACATAAGTATACATTAATTTTTAAAGTAATTACTATTTCGAAAACGTACTGCGGCTTGTTGACGACTCTGGGGTTGATTCTCCTGCGGTGATCATCAGAATGCGTCCATCCGCGCCTGAGTTCTTTGTTATCGGGCAGTCCCTCTGATAGTGTCCAGTCTCACCACAGCCATAGCAGGCTTGGTTTTCTTCAACTCTGGGGACTTGGGAGATTGGTTGAGCCGGTGTTCTGCAGAAACGGACTGTGTGTCCCTTTCTGTGGCAGTTTAGACACTGCATTTCTCGGCATACTCTGGTGTGGTGATAATTGCACTTCCCACACTTCGGAAGGGTTCCAACATACCTACTGGCAGGTGCTGGAGCAGCAGGTGTTGTAGCGGCGTATACGGTACTCGTTTGTTGCTCTTGCGGGGGTTCCTGTGTTGTTCGCTTCTTCTTCCTCTTGTTCCCCGATTTCCGATTATAGTCCTCTCCCTTTGATGGATCGGGAACTAGGACTTCTACGCCATGGCAGACTTCATGGTCGATGAGTCGCTGGGCCAGGCGTTTGGCACTATCGAATTTGGTTGGGTTAGAAGACAACACATCACCTTGGGTCGGGGCAGTTAGACCCCAGATGTACCTTTCTATCTCCTTCTTTAAGATTCTAGCGGTTACTTTTGTGGTTCTTCAAGTCTTAGATGTTTTTTTAGTGTTTTAAGGAGTTACTTTTAGCTTCCTTTACTAGCTTTAATATTAGTTTTAATAAGTGGTTGGTTGGTTTGCTTGTAACCACTATATTTGTAATAAGGCTTTATATGAGCCATGTTCTTTCATGGAAAAATGATACACACGAATTTTTAAGAAAAAGAACCTTTATTCACTTGGAGTTATTGTTATAATTCACTAATTATTTGTTGGGACGTGTTCTGGACTTGATACGAACTCAATTCGAATGGGTCTTGGATTGTTTTCACTAGTATACAACTTAATAGGTCTTGAGTTGTTACTAATTTAGCCATTTCTTTCCATACACATATCATTTTTGGTTGTTATTCTCTCTCGATTAACCTAAACACTACCTTACTCACTAAATCAAGCCCATACACATCGTAAGTGGTATCAAAGCGCTATATTCATATCATAAGTGGTATCAGAGTGCCATATTTATATCATAAGTGGAAGCGATCATCCAAATCCCAAGTATTTACATGGGAGGGAATTCGTGATGTTTGGACTTCTATTCATGTGGTTTGCTTTAAATTGGGAAACCATGATTTTTGGGTGTATTACCCATCAATTTATTGATATGAACCATGATCCATTCTTTCAACTAACTGCGATTAAGCATCTAAATTATTACAAGGTTAATTTACAGGGTCCTAATCTCGTTCATAAACGAAGGTGGTTTGTGTTTCACAAATGGAAGGTTCGTATCGGAGGACAACACCACGAAGTCCTTGTTGAATTGAGGACAATTCCTTTCCAAGAATGGGGGAATGATACGAGTATGGGAGTGAAAGATTCTAAAAATAGGGATATGCTGACACTTGTCACGTTGGATGGTGATGTGGCATAAAATAGGTGCAATGTGACGTGGAAAGGGTTATGGCCAAGGACGGGAGACGGTTAATGATATTAATGGTGAGTTAAGAATAGAGACGTTACAAGTTGGAAAATTAAAGTGGGAGTTTCATTTCAGTTTTTATTAAGGCTTTATGCCATGTGATGCCATGGCTAAATTCAATTGCATGGTGACTTGGATGAATTAAGGGCTACATTTTAAGATTTCTTTTTTTTTTTGAAAGAGCCAAAGCTGAGCAAACTTTATTAAAAAGAATAAAAGAATACAAAAACAAAAGGAAATAAAATAGTCAAGCAAAATACAAATCTAACCAACCTATCCATAACCAATTACCAAGCCACTTTTTAATAACCAGACTTAACCACCCAAAAACCCAAAAAACCTTATTATCCTTAAAGCTAGCCCAAAGACTTATTGAAAGTGGGAAAAAAGGTAACTTCACCCCCTTGCACCACCAAAATCCCCAAAGATCATTAATACCTAAGCAAGGGGTAAGGCCCTTAAAAAAACCCACAGTCCGAAGGCCAAGCTTTAAGAAAAAACCCAACAAAACCACAATACTCCCTACACAATACATAACATAGAACCAATAAAAGATAACACAATTATAACACTCATAATTGCAACTATAAAAAAACCCCATCAATTTATCAATCCCGCATCTTCTGTCACTTCTCCTCTCATCAATCCTCCACTTAGTCTTCAACAGAAAAGACTCCATCTGCTTGCAAACATGATCCAAACCCGACCTTTGCAAAAAATTCCTGGATATCAAGCACAAGCCAAACCACAACAAACTAACACCAAAACTCCAAGAAATCAGAACAAGTTTCATACTAGACATGGCATCAATCACATATCTAGGATTCTCCATTTGGATAATCTCAATAAAGATCATATCCAAACAGAAAATCCCATAGGTACAAGTCACATGATTTGAGAGCAAACTCTCAAACCAGTAACACAATCCGTCAATTCCTTTGTAAAGAAACTTATTCCAAAAATGCCCCCACCAATCCACAGCATTAAGATCACCAAAGTTAAACATCCTTCTATGCCAACCCAAAACCAATAGCCACCAACCAAGAAACTAAAAAACGAGAAAATAGTATTCATTACTTAAACTTTTTCCATTCCAGAAATACCCCAGGCCTTAAAAACTTTATCATTGACCATCTTAGCCTTTTTCCTCAACCCCAACAGCATTAAATGTATTTCACTTTCAATACAAGCAATCAGCCCCTTATACGAATTTCTCCTGTTACTAAATAGTCTAGAATTTCTCTCCTTCCAAATATGTGCAACACAACTAGCAAAAACACATTTATTAACCAGATTCTCACCAGAATTCCTTTTAAACAAACTGCACAGCTTCATAATCAATTCATTCCAATCATCCATAAAAAGATTAAGACCCATCTTATTACAAAAATACCTCCAAATAAGTTGAGAATAATCACATTTAAAGAAGAGATGAACATGTGAATCAGGAGTAACAGCACAAAAAGGACAAAGTAAGTTACCAGAAACTTCCCAACCTCTGCACGATCCTGGGTCTTCAATCTATTCAAAATAGCCATCCACAAAATAAACGAATTTCGAGGAATGCAATTACCATACCAAACAATATCATGCCAAGGAACTTGGTCTCCAAAATTATTTATATCACACCACACCTGTTTGCATGAAAATTGTTTACATATTCCTTTCTTATCTCTCCAACCTGCAATATCCCTCAGATTAGGCTCAATACAAAACATGGGAGCATCCTTCAATCCAGGGAATATATTAACCCACTCAACCGGCCAAGTATAGCAATCATAGACTAGAACATCACTGACCAAGGAAGAATCACTAAACCCATTGCTAACCCAATCTCTTCTAGATATAATAGAACATAAAATACCAATTGGGTGCCACCAATCATGCCAGAGAGAACTATTCATCCCGTTTCCCACACACGAAACAACATGGGGCCTAACAAATTTTCTCACCTCAAGGAACCTCTTCCAAGTCCAGCTCATACTCTTCTTCTGCAAAATATCCCAAAAATTCCTGTTTCCAATGTAATTGGATTTCACCCACTGAACCCACAGAGAATTTTTGCTATTAATCACATTCCACACATGTTTAGCTAACAAAGCATCATTCCATTTCCTTAAATTCTTCACTCCTAAACCACCATAAATTTTCGGCTTACAAATATCATTCCACTTGACTTTAGCTTTCCCTTTGACTACCTCACCATTCGCCCACAAGAAACTTCTACAAAGATTTTCAATCTCTTTAATAGTAGCAATGGGAATTTTAAAAATCGAAGCCCAATACACATGAATAGATGTCAAAACAGAATTAATGAGCTGCAGCCTTCCAGCAAACGATAAAGCCTTGCATTTCCAATTGAAAATTCTCATCTTAATCTTCTCAATAAGCTGTTTACAATCTCTATCAAATAATTTTGTAACACACATAGGAATTCCCAAACACTTAAAAGGAAATCTCCCAATATCAAAAGGAAGAATGCCCAAGATAATCCTTCTCATATTGGGTTTAAGACAACTGAAGAAAATCTGGCTTTTTTCCATGCTCACCTTCAACCCTGAAACTTTTTTGAACTCATCAAGAGCATCCCTTATAACTCTAGCAGAATTCCCATTTCCATAAGAAAATACTAACAAATCATCAGCAAAGCATAAATGAGTAATTTTAAGGGACATACACTTACTATGAAACTTAAAATTCTGGCCAGCTTCAATTTTCTTCAAAAGGATGATATTAAACACCTCCATAACTATAGTAAATAGGTAAGGAGATAGAGGATCACCCTGCCTAAGACCCCTCTTTCCTTCAAAATACCCATGATCTTCACCATTAAAGTTAAGCATGAACCAAGGAGTAGAAACACAAGCCATAATCCACTGAATCATTATCGTATGAAAACCAAACCCCTGCAGAATTCTACTAAGAAAATTCCAATCCACCGTATCATATGCCTTTTGAATATCAATCTTTATGGTGCATTTGGGAACTCCCCTCTTATTTTTATACCCCACCATTAGCTCCTGAGCAAGGAGAATATTATCCACAATAGATCTTCCAGGAATGAAAGCTGATTGATTTTTGCTCACAATATCACCCAAACTATTTCTAATTATGTTCACTATAATCTTACTAATACACTTATATAAAGTGTTACAGCAGGCTATAGGACGGAAATCAGAAACTTTCCTCGGGAACTCCACTTTAGGAACCAACACTATTCTCGTAGCATTAATCCCCTTCAACAATTTACCAGTCCAAAAAAATTCCCTCACAGCTTTACACACCTCCGGCCCAACAATGTTCCAAGAACTTTTAAAAAATTTGGAGGAGTACCCATCAGGTCCAGGGGCACGATTTTCATCAATATCAAACATCGCCACTTTGATTTCTTCATCAGTCACCACTCTAATCATATTAGCAGCCACCCTACTATCCAATTTATTATGAAAGAAACCATCATTTAAACACGAAAACTCAGTAACATCTTTACAACCCAAAAACTTATTGAAATGAGTAACAAATTTATCCTTCATAGCCTTCCCACTAACCCATCTTCCATCTTCATCAATAACCATCAGAATACGATTTCTATTGCCCCTGCTCTTCACAACTCTATGAAAAAACTTTGTATTATTGTCCCCTTCCTGTAACCAATTTATCTTAGATCTCTGGAAAAGAAGCTTTTCTTCATCATTACAAGCAACATTAAAATCAAAAAGAATATTAGTATGCTCCTCCCTAATCTTACAATCAAAAGGATTAAGATCAATTTCAGATTGTTTACTTTCCAACTCCTTTCTTAACATTTGGATTCTCTTCCCAGAACCCCTGTGCTTATTGCAAAGCTCCCTACAATGCTTTTTAAGAATCTTCAACTTTTGGCACACTTTGAACATAAAAAAACCTTCAATATTAGCATCCCAAACTTCCTTAACCAGGGGTAAGAACTCCACCTTTTCAGTGATAAAATTAGCAAACCTAAAAGAAGGTTTCCATCTCAATTTGCCAACAGGAACATTTAAAATAGCAGGACAATGATCCGACACCCTATAAGGTTTAAAAACAGCATGAGCTAAAGGATGATCCGAAACAAATTTCAAATTGGCCATCACCCTATCTAACTTCTTCAAAAGGCCCTTATTCCCAGCAGGAGTTTTATTCCAAGTAAACTGAAACCCAGAGGAATTCAGATCCTCAACTTCAATAAAGTTTATACAGTCAATAAAATCATCAACTCCTTTAGGCGTTTTGGAACAACCTTCAGAATATTCTGATGGTTTTAAAGCAACATTAAAATCACCTAATATTCCCCATGCTTCCTTCTTAACAACCAAACTATGTTTCTTCAAATTATCCCATAATAACCTTCTCTCAAGATAATTCGAAGCAACATATATAAAAGACAAATACATGTTATAATTGGAATCACAGAATCTAACATAACAGTGAATAACTTGTCTAGACTGAGAAATCAGCATCACATCAAAAAGTCTTGGATTCCATCCAACAATTATTCTAGTTCCAGCCTCACAGCTACTATTATTAGAAACCCAATCCCATTGACCAAAGGTCTTAGCACAAACATTCTTAAGATTTAAGACCTTGACATGAGACTCCACCACAGCACATATACCAAGGTTATTACTCCTAATAACATCAATAACCTCCTTCTGCTTAATAGCTTTATTCAAGCCCCTGACATTCCATACCCCTATAGACATCATTGGGAAATAATAGAGTTTTTGGCATTTACCTCCTCAAATGCCTGAGAAATCCCATCTTTGCTTTTACTATTCCCCTGAACCATCATACTATTCTTCATTTTATTACTTTCATTCCCTACATTACCCTTCCCAACAAACTTAGAAGGATCCAACTTATTATTCATTGTTCCAACAACATCAGAAGAATAATCAACACAATCACCTTCCTGATAACCATCAACTTTGCCTCCCTTAGCATCCTCTTCTATTCTATCCATAACTTCCTCATCAATCCTTCCCAGGATTTCAAAACTATTTTTAATACTGCAACCATCACTAGAAACAGTCTTATTTTCTAGACTCTTGTTAACACCCACTTTTATGTTATCATCCTTTATAGCATTCCCCTGCATCTTATTCTCCATTTTCCCCTGATTACCAACCAAAGCCTGACCATTAACAAACTTCTCATATCTTCTATTCTTTTCCAAATTCCAATGACCCACCCCTTTATTATTCCAATTCCCATTCTGTCCCCTTCCATTACCACCTCTATTCCCATAATTGCCTCTGAAATTATTTCCCCTGTTAAAATTTCCATTCTTCCCACTATATTTTTGATTATACAATTAAGCATGACCCTCCTTAGATTTACTAGTACCTTCACCATCATTATTTCCTGCAACCTTCTTATAAACAACCTCCGTAAATCCATCATCATTAACCATTTCCTTCCCTTTATTTCTCTTATTGTTCCCATTATCCCCATTCTTTACCACTTTCTCTTCATTCAAAGCTGCCAAACAAACTTTATCCGTATGCCCATAAACCTTACAGTGATTACATCTAGAAGGCATCCAAGCATACTCCACATCAAAACTCTGAACCACAGCAGAATTAGTAACAAAATCCCAATAGAAACCTCAATTTTCCTCATCCATTCCTTATCAGCCGCCATTTCAACAAGAATTCGAGCATAAGCGTTTCTACCCTTGTGTTCCAAACACATCTCCTCAGTAAAAGAATCAAAAGCGAGAGGCACCCCCAACTTACTCGCTATAATACACAAATTCTCTCCACTCCATACTTCCAAAGGTAAATCAAAGATTTTGATCCACACCGGAATTTTATCATGACTATTCTTGGTTAATTTCAGACCTGGTCTCCACCTTTGAAGAAATAATGGCATATTATTGAACATCAACCATGGGCTTCCCTCCAATATAGATAACATCCCCTGCTCATCACTAAATTTAAAAAAGAAAAACCCTTTAATGTTCATGAATATCTCTTCAAGACCCACATTCTTCCATAGCCTTCTAACCTCTTGCTGAATCACAGGAAACGCTAACTTCTTATCAATCATATACCCATATAAAGTATTAGTATATGGAATACTCGCTTTCTTTAAATTCTCAATCGGGATAATAACAGGTCCTTCTTCTTTGCCTTTTTCCCCTGGAATAAACTTGACATCAATCTTACCCTTATGTCTATTACCTTTTAACACACCTGCATAAGAGTTCAACAAGTTCCCCTGACTATCACCATCCACCTTTTTACAACTATTAGCATCACCCGAAATAGAAGGAAGCATATTAATACTATTAATAACAGTACCAGACTTCATCTTTAAACTAGGCTCTTTACTCATCTTAGTATTAACCTCCTCTTCCATCACAATTTCCTCATCTTCACTAGACTCATCCTCACTAGATTCATCTTCCCCATCCTCTTCAGAAGAACCATCATCTTCAGAATCATCTCCTTCCTCATTAACTTGCTTATTCAAATTTGACATATCGACATCCATTTCCTGATTCAACTTACTATCTAAATCCTTCCTCTTAGGTGTTTCCACCTTCAACTCATTAAGAAATTGAAAGCCAACTCCCGGAATAAATTCTTCATTACTGATAACCTTCTTATCACCATTAGATCTAGACTTCTCAGCTTCATCATCAACCAAATCAGGGCATACAGGTTTATTGATATCAATCACAACAATGTTAGGATTCACCCTAATCATTTCACTAGTAACACTCTTCAATTCCGAACTAGGGCTCAATAATTCATCATTCACCTTAGAACCATCCCAATTTTTCAACAAATTAGCAGTATTACCTGAAGGAATAGAGACAACTTGAACTCCAATAGTCTTCAGCTCACCAGAACCCCCATCCTTCAACCTCTTCATATTGCTATCATTTCCAGGAATAGAAATATTAGAATCCGACTCCCAGGCCGACACAGACTCCGAGTCATCTTCCGTTTCCTCCTCATTAGCTTCTTCAGTGTAGTATTCCTTTGCATCCATCGGTGATATCCCATCCACAATTTTCCGAGCTCTGTTCTTCACTCTGAAAGCTTTCCCCTCCATTTTCCATTCAGCTTTTCCAATCCCCGAAGCAACAGCTCCAGAAGCACTTGGCTTACGACGAGCTTTATAAATCGTAGCTGAGGACTGATCAATGACCCCAGGGGGAACTAGATCTTTCACATCCACTTCAGTCCTATCGTACCAGACAGCAGCACTTTTATCCGGTGGCTTAACTTTCACTTCCTTCAATCGATCCGCTTTAGATGACGCGCCCATTAGGACAACGGAAACAGAAGAGAAATTGCTTCAACGACTAAATGAAATTCGTCGGAAAAGCAGCACCGATGAACCAAAGACTAGATCACACCACCGATAGAGAGAATCAGGGGAAGAGAGAGAAAGTAGAGAGAGAAAGCTACATTTTAAGATTTCTTAAGTGATCAACCGTTAGTTTTGGCTTCATAGATCATCCTAGATGTTTTTGGTGACCTTTGGTGGATTAGGGTTACATCTTGATGGCTTCTTAACACCTTCTTTATGATTCTAGCGATTACTTTTATGGTTCATCAAGTCTTAGATGTTTTTTTAGTGTTTTAAGGAGTTACTTTTAGCTTCCTTTACTTGCTTGAATATTAGCTTTAATAAGTGGTTGGTTGGTTTGCTTGTAACCACTATATTTTTAATAAGGCTTCATGTATGCCAAGTTCTTTCATGGAAGAAGGATACACAAGAGTTTTTAAGCAAAAGAACCTTTGTTCACTTGGAATTATTGTTATAATTCACTAATTATCTTGTTGGGACGTGTTCTTGACTTGATACGAACTCAATCAGATGGGTCTTGGATTGTTTTCACCGGTGTAGAACTTAATAAGTCTTGATTTGTTACTAATTTATACATTTCTTTCCATACACATATCATTTGTGGTTGTTATTCTCTCTTAATTTACCAAAACACTATCTGTCTCATTAAATCAAGCCCATACACGTATCATAAGTGCTATCAAAGCGCCACATTCCTATCATAAGTGGTATCAAAGCGTCATATTTGTATCATAAGTGGAAGCGATCATCCAAATCCCAAGTGTTTGGGAAGTCGTGATGTTTGGATTTATATTCTTGTGGTTTGCTTTAAATTGGGAAACCATGATTTTGGGGTGTATTATTCATCACTTTATTGATATGAACCATGATCAATTCTTTCAAGTAACTGCGATTAACTATGAAAATTATTACAAGGTTAATTTGCAAGGTCCTAATTTAGTTCATAAACGAAGGCGGTTTGTGTTCAACAAATGGAAGGCTCATTTCGAAGAACAAAACCACGAAGTACTTGTTGAATTGAGGACAATTCCTTTCCAAGAAGGAGGGAATGATACGAGTATGGGAGTGAAAGATTCTTAAAGTAAGGATGTGTTGACACTTGTCACGTTGGATGGTGATGTGGCACAAAATGGGTGCTATATGACATGGAAAGGGACGTGGCCAAGGATGAGAGAAGGTTAATGATATTAATGGAGAGTTAAGAATTCAGACGTTACAAGTTGGAAAATTAAAGTCGGAGTTTCATTTCAATTTTTAAAAAGGTTTTATGCCAAGTGATGTCATTGCTAAATTGGATTTCTTGGTGACTTGGATTAATTAAAGGCTACATTTTAAGACTACTTAAAGTGCTCAACCGCTACTTTTGGCTTCATAGCTCATCCTAGACTTTTTGTTGACCTTTGGTGGATTAGGGTTACATCTTGATTGCTTCTAAACACCTTCTTTAAGATTCTAGCAGTTACTTTTGCGGTTCTTCAAGTCTTAGATGTTTTTTTAGTGTTTTAAGGAGTTACTTTTAGCTTCCTTTACTAGCTTAAATATTAGTTTTAATAAGTGGTTGGTTGGTTTGCTTGTAACCACTACATTTGTAATAAGGCTTTATATGAGCCATGTTCTTTCATGGAAAAAGGATACACACGAGTTTTTAAGAAAAAGAACCTTTGTTCACTTGGAATTATTGTTATAATTCACTAATTATTTGTTGGGACGTGTTTTGGACTTGATACGAACTCAATCGAATGGGTCTTGGATTGTTTTCACCAGTATAAAACTTCATAGGTCTTGAGTTGTTACTAATTTAGCCGTTTCTTTCCATACACGTATCATTTGTGGTTGTTATTCTCTCTCGATTAACCTAAACACTACCCTAGTCACTAGATCAAGCCCATACACATCATAAGTGGTATCAAAGCGCTATATTCGTATCATAAGTGGTATCAGAGCGCCATATTCATATCATAAGTGGAAGCGATCATCCAAATCCCAAGTATTTACATTGGAGGGAGTTCGTGATGTTTGGACTTCTATTCATGTGGTTTGCTTTAAATTGGGAAACCATGATTTTTGGGTGTATTACCCATAAATTTATTGATATGAACCATGATCCATTCTTTTAACTAACTGCGATTAACCATCTAAATTATTACAAGGTTAACTTGCAGGGTCTTAATCTCGTACATAAATTGTCACACCCCCGAACCGTCAGAAGTAACGGCGAAAACGTCCGAGGGCAGGTGACGTCATGCGTAGTATCACAACAGTTGTATCATAGTAAGCAAAGTAAACACAACCATTACATTACAATATAATGATTTACATCTGTTTGAAAACATAGTTTATACATAAGAGTATATAACAAAAGTAAAAGACGTGACTCCAATGCTCCATCTTCTCCAAAAGTTGGCAAGAGTACCTGTCTATTGTTGCCCTGAGAATACAAGCGGTTTGAAAGAGTATCAGCATAAAGCTGGTGAGTTCATATGTATTTAGTTCTGGTGAAAGAAATGTTTCTTTGATCCTTTGAAAAGTGTTTCCCAATAAAATCCTATATTTTCTTATGAAAGACGTTTGATTATCCATTCGTTATTTGTTTAACAGCCTGTTTATGTAAGGTTGAGTTATCCGAGGAAAATCCTATATTTTCCTTAAAAGTTGATAGTTGGTTATCTGTTCTTGTCTGAGGTGTACAAATATCTACCATACTTGTATCGTTAGACGTAGTTTTCTTGAAAAACCCTGTTTGTTCCATGTGAAGTGCATTAGCCTTATTACATAAATAAAACTAATCAATAAGTGGTGAACTAAATCCTAAGGGTATTATTAATACCCTCTAGTAATCAAATCGGTTATTACTTTGAGGTTAGTTCACTTGTTTCATTATTACAAAAGTAAATTCTGTTATCTAGGTTGCGAGTTTTATAACCATACATTAAACTGGATATGACACGTAACGGGGCCAGTATCCTTTTATGACTTTGTCACCCCAGGCATGGCTGCCTAACTGTAGCTAGCAGTTTAGGTGCGGGATAGTCAGTCCCGTATAGATCTATACACAATAGTCACGCTCTCCCTACAAGAGATTCTGGTTACAAGTGTTAGTCCTACACTCTCGAATTCGGTGGGAGTGTTACCAAGGACGTGTCTCCAACTTTAGACTAACAATGTGCATGTAATAATACCGAAAATCTTGTTTATGATTTGTATGAATCCTGTATAAAATATTACATTTTATGACAAGATTCACGAGTTCATTGCTTTAGTTTTGAAAACTGTTTCTACGAGTTGATTTCTTAATCGTTTGGTAAAACTGTTTTCTGTGTTAAAAGCATACTGAACATATAATTATTTTATACAAAATAATATACTTTGATTACAAGTTTCATTGTACTTTTGCTTGTATTCCCCCGCTGAAAACATGAAAAACTCGGAAAAAGCGTAGGGGTATGAACTCACAATTTGACGTGGGATTCGAGTGTAAGTTGCTAGGAATTGCTGAGTGTCAAATAAAGCCTCGGGCACAAACGGATCCTATTTAGCATGTAAAAGTACATATATGCATTAGGTGAGGGCATAACCCTAGTTTTTATGGAAGGAAATCATCCTGGGGACCAGGAAACACTTGAAACTAAGTGTTAGAATCGCATGTGATTTGAAAATGGGGAGTTTGCGGTCGTAAAAGGAGTGTACGGTCAAGGGTTTGCGGCCCAACAGGGTTTACGACCCATATGTTTACGGCCCAAGTGTTTGCGGTCCATGGGTTTACGGCCTATGGGTTTACGGCCCATGTGTTTACGGCCGTAAACACTTGGTGAAAGGTGCGATTTTTGGTGTTTCAAGGTCCTTTCTAGCCTTCTGGAAGTGTCCTAAGCCTTATGCACCACTCAAATTAGGGTTTAAAGGCCAATAATCGACCAAAAAGGGAGTTTACGGCCATTGAAGGGAGTACGGCCGTAAACCCCTGTGTTGATGCGTTTCAGGTCGATTTTCAGGCGAAAATCGATGGTTTCTAGTAGATAACAAGTATAGATGGCAGTTACTTACTGTTTAGCTTGGAATGAGGTTTTTAGCCACCAAGAACTAGTGTGTGTTCTTGGTCAGAGAGAAAATCTAGAAAAGATGAGATTCATGAGATAGGAACATGGATTTACCACTAGAAATGAGATAGAAGCACAATCAAAGTGAAGAATCACTTACATTCTTGAGGGTCCTTGAGCAATTTCAAAAATTGTAGAGAGAGAGAGAGAGAGAGAGAGAGTAGAGAGAGGAAGCTCCTGAGATGTGTAAAGTGAGAAATGAAGGCCACTCATCCCTTATATAGGGGTGAGTTTACGGCCAAGGGGTGGGTGGGGGGTTTACGACCGTGAACAGAGTTTACGGTCGTAAACAGAGTTTACGGTTGTAAACTGAGTTTGCGGCCGTAAACTCCTCTCGGAGGGTTGTTTGGCTCGGATACTACTCTTTGACTTGGAAAAACTCATTCTTGGACCCAAACTTTGATTGTACTAAGCTTAGAATATTCCGTTAGACCAAAAATAATACTAATGTGAACGGAAATAAATCCGAATTGATTTATTTAAAACGCAAAGTCCTTCCCAAACTAAGAAATTTGATGGAATTAAATAAAAACCCAAATTTTATTGACGGAAACTGGGTAAGGATAACGGAAAAAGTTTCGGGTTGTCACATCATCCCCCCGTTAGAGGGAATTTTGTCCCGAAATTCGAACATAGAATACAAATCATGGATTAGAAAAGAGATGCGGATACTTCTGTTTCATCTGATCTTCACGCTCCCAAGTGAATTCAGGTCCCCGCTTGGCATTCCAGCGAACCTTCACTATCGGGATGCGACTTTGTTTCGTTTGTTTGATCTCTCTATCCATGATTTCGACTGGTTCTTCCACGAAGTTCAGATTCTCGTTGATTTCAATTTCATCGAGAGGAATCACAAATGTC